TCATAGGCTTAAACCATGATTAGTCTTGGAATGTTTCAGATCTTTCGTAACCTGTCTATCTGACTCTTTACAACTATTAACCTGGTTGAAATTAAGGTTATAACCAGTTCTACCTAACCTGACCTATACAATTTGTGCTGTTAATGCTTGCCATGCTACTGTTTATCTTGTATTATTCCAACAGCTTGTACCAGCTATCGTGGCGGTATAAGCATGTTTGTAATTCTAAGCACAACAAAAATAAAGAATTATAAAAAAAATTAAAAAAGGAGTTGGGCAGTCACCATGGAGCCAGCAGACACATTCTATCCGGTGGCTTTGTCTCGTTGGCATCTTTATACACAACACAGTCGTTGTGTTCATTTTTTGTTTGTTTTTTTTAATGCAAAAAAATTAATGTACACTTTTTTTTAAAATTACATTTTAAATGTCACCTTATTAAAGTGAGGTTTAAAATTAGGATTTTTTTAAATTTTGTAATTGTTTTTTTTTAATTCCCCAACTTTCTGTGTTTTTTATGTAAAGGAATGTTGGGATATGAATTCTCTGTCTGCTTGCAGTCATACGGCCATATCCACTTTAAAAAAAATTTTTTTGGTGCTGGTAATGAAAGCCAGTCTCATGCTGATGCGTTAGAGAGCAGTTCAAGACTAAACATTTCCTAGCTCTGGCCGCATGCCTTTGAGATTCCTAGAATAACTCCATGATGTACTGAAGTCATAGATCCCAGACGCACACAATACTTCTTAAATTAGGGCAGTCAAAAGGTAGATCCAAAACTAAGAGCTTTACAGTGGCTGGAAAAGCATCATAGGAGTTGTTGTGCAACAACTGGAGATCTACATTTCGGTCACTCCTGATCACTTGCGACCAATTCTTGTCTATTTTTTTTTTCTGATGCATTATTCACATCTATACGGTTTATTATGATTATATGAATTAAATGGCTTAAAAGGTACTTTGAAAAAAGAAGAGACAGTCTACTTTTGGTTTCACTGCCCTTAGAAATGCATTCCAGACTCTCGAGGCAGAGAGATACTTTGTGTCTGTGTGTACATAGTCACCGTTCAAGAATTGTCATTATTACTTTGTAATGGATTCATGGTTATAAGTATAAGTAAACATCACATTGTATTTGTTCGTTGCTGTTGATCTTACAATGATGCCTGGAAGCTCTCCCTTGAATAGACTTTTTTAGTTTGGCTACTAGAGCACAAAATTCATTTTCACTCTTCTTTAAACTCTAGAGAGGCTCAAATGGGCCCAGGAGGAAGCTTTATGTGAACCTGTCAAATAGAATTAACATTCTTCCATAACACAGGGTGGTTAAAAATTGCTGGGTCAGAAGTCCAGCATTGTTGGATGTGTGGACTAGTGACCCCAGATTTGACGTGGACAGTTTCATTGTTATTGATTCATAGTAAAAAGCTGTAGATACTGACAAAGTGGTGATGGTGCTTGGGGTACCCCTTAACACAACTACATAACTACAACACCCCAGTTTTAGAGAGTACTAACCACATTTCAGTATGTATGGGTGAAGTTACAATATTAAAAGTGCAGTTTAACTTGATATGTGAATTCTGGAACTTGAGACCCTCATTGATTAACTTCAAGATTGCCGGCTCGATTTCAGAATATATAACAACATGCATATTTAAAGGGAAACTGCCACAACTTACCTTTCCCTCCGCAATCTCCTTACTCAGTTGGGTCGGCCCGTGCTCCTCCTTAGCTCTTCTTTCGTTTGCCTGTTTAAAGGAGCACTATAGTGCCAGGAAAACAAATCCAGCGTCGGGATCCCTCGGCACTGGTGACCTCTCCTTCCCCTGCCAACGTCGGCTCTGAATGCGCATGCGCGGCCAGAGCCGCGCACACGCATTAAAACTGCCCATAGAAAAGCATTACTCAATGCTTTCCTTTGGACATTCAGCGTGTCCTTAATGCGATTTTCGCATTGAGAATCGCGGAAGTGGCCTCTAGTGGCTGTCAGGGAGACGGCCACTAGAGGCTGGATTAACCCTCAATGTAAACATAGCAGTTTCTCTGCAGGGCTAAAACTAGGGGGACCTGGCACCCAGACCACTTCATAGAGCTGAAGTGGTCTGGGTGCCTATAGTGGTCCTTTAAAGGGACACTGTAGACACGGAGATCACTTCAGCTCATTGAAGTGGTCTGGGTGCAGTGTCCCTATTGCACTTAGTGCTACAGTGTTAAACATTGCAGTTCCAGAGAAACTGCAATGCTTACATGGCAGCTTTAAGACTGCCTCCAGTGGCTTAAGGTGCTTCCTGCATCCAAACAGACCTTTGGTCCTGTATCTGACGCTGGACATCCTTACACTTTGCATGACAACATCCAGCGTCACATTTTTCCTCATAGGAAAGCTTTGATTCCTGGCACTTATACAGATACAGATGGAGAAACACCGCACCAGATGTAATGAAGTGTAACAGTGAACTATATACCTACAGGATATTCCACATATAAATGAACTCAAAGAGAAAAAAAGAGAAATATAAGTATAATACAGTACAGATAAATTAAAAATATATATGTGCTGGTGATGGTAATACACTCACGTGTCCCAGAGCTACCTAAGAGCTCTGCTATCTTCATCCTGCTTCCTGGACATCTTCTGTGTCCCAAGGTGGGAATTGTAACACCCAAGGCTTATTAAGCTAGAGCAAGTACTGCTCTAGAGAATGTAAGTACATTTTCATTTGTACACATTCTTATAATATAAACGTACATCACGTATCTTTTGTTTTATGTTTCCTGTACATGCTGGAATAATACACTAAGTGATTCTACCATCAAGACCTACCTATATCCTTAGACGGGGATTATAGCATCCGTGCCTTATTCAGCAGAGCTCTTAGGTAGCTCTGGAACACGTGAGTACATTACTGTCACGTGCGTGGGCTATAGGTCCAGCCGAGACAGTGGGGAGAGTGTGGAAGTGACAGGGTTAATGACACCAGACCCCTGGTTACCTGTTGCTAGTTCCAGCAACCACTCAATTAACCCCTGCAATCCCTTCTACACTAACCCCCTTAATACACTTTACTCTACTGCCACCACCAAGACTTTTAAACCCGGGCGTCTTAGGTTACCCCACACACAGGAGAATTATAGTATCACCGTTCTACTTTTACTGATAAAACATATATAGTTAACCCTTTTTGGTAACGTGTTTACCTGAGCTTTCCTCTGGAGAGTGAAGCTCATAGAGAACAGAGACACAAGCTGATTAAATAAACATTTAATCTGACAAAAAGGATTCACAGTGCTGAGTACAAAATACAGAAATAAATGACATACAGATAACAAATTGCAAAACAGTACATAAAATAAAATAGGAGAAAACACAAGAAATTCCTTACATATATTTACCCCATATAGAATTCTTGTGGGAGTCTTAGATGGTATAGGTTTCCTAGAAGTTACTGACAAAAGAAAAATGAATAACTGACTTCCCTGGATAGTCCAACACCCTCATATATCTAAACTAGTTGTTTCTCAGTGGGCAGACCCCTGGGGGGGGATCAGAGGGGGTTGGTCTGGCAGTCTATTGCCCACTCTATGAAATTCCTTGTGTCCAGCTCTGGTGATGGCTATCTAGATGTTTTATGGTCTAGGCCTGGTGCAAGATCAAAGACCACAATAAATGTCATCCCAAGGTTTACAAAAAAACAACTCTTAACATATATAAACACACATCAAACACCAACTCATGCTTTTGGCATGACAATTACCATCACCAGCACAAATATATTTGTACTGTATTATACTATTATTTTCTATTTTTCTCTTTGAGGTCATTTATATTTGGAATATCCTGTGAGGTATACAGTTCACTGTTATACTTCATTACATCTGGCGCGGTGTTTCTCGTTGTATCTGTTTTGTGTAAAGAGGTTTTGAGAATTCCTTTTTTATTCACTGCTGCCACTTCTGTTGACTATAGTGAGCACCTAGAAATCCCTTTATTCCTGGTACTATAGTATTCCTTTAAGGACATGTCTCCATGCAGGGCATGGAGTCACTTCACTCCATTCCTATACTACTAGCCAGCGCTAGCAGTATCAGCTAGGGAGTTGCCATAGCAATCAAAGTGTATGTGCTGTGGTTGCTATGGGTGGAGAGCAGAGATAATTCATGTGGGAAGGCTCTTCTGCTCTCTATGTCTTTCAATATGATTTTCTCCAAAACTATAAAATTGCTAAAACAACGTATAAATGTTTAAAAAAGCTATAGTTATTACAGCAATGATCTTTTTATTCACGGGTTTGGGGGGATGGTAGGTTTCACGATATGCCTCATTCATTTTGAAACTTATCTAATTCTCTAAATTAGGAATAAGAATATTTATTTTAACACATAAGCTTGAGCCATGGTTTTCAAAGTCCGTGTTTTCACCGTGTTCAATCAAACTGAAACACACCAAAAGATTATTATTTTTGTTTGTTTTTTTACAATCAGTGTTAAGTTATAAACCTATTTACTTTCTTTATTGTGATTACGCTAAGTGACACACATCTCCTGAAAACATTGCTAATATTCTGTAAGCAGTAATTAGGTTTCCCATAAACTTGAATGTTTTATGAGTTTAAAATATAAAAGCATTTCATCGTTTCAAAGAATTGAGTCAAGACTGGACTCAAAGCCTAGATTTCACATTAAGAATTATGCATTAGATTTTCCACATTTGTAGAGTTAACTCAGAACGTCTGCAATTTTCCAATTCGTATATTGACTGTCAGTTTATTTCCGTTTTCTAATGGTTAATTAGCTGAAAAAATAGTCCCATCTAATGGACAATGCAAAATTATTATACTATGGGTACCAACTTTGTGGTGAGGACTGAACTCTCCAGGGTATTATTTTAAAATCTATTTAGAGGTACATAGCAATAGTGATGTCCCGAACGGTTCGCCACGAACGGTTCGCCACGGACTCATCATTGAGTAAACTTTGACCCTGTACCTCACAGTCAGCAGACACATTCCAGCCAATCAGCAACAGACCCTCCCTCCCAGACCCTCCCACCTCCTGGACAGCTCACTAAGAATGCAGCTTCAAAATGGATGCTGTCCAGGAGGTGGGAGGGTCTGGGAGGGAGGGTCTGCTGCTGATTGGCTGGAATGTGTCTGCTGACTGTGAGGTACAGGGTCAAAGTTTACTCAATGATGAGTCCGTGGCGATGCGTTCGTGGCGAACCGTTCGGGACATCACTACATAGCAAGTATTGTTTGGTTTATAGTTGCGAATCGTAATAAGCAAATAAAAAAACAACTGCAGTCTTTTAGGTTTAAGATTGGCGAGTCTTTCTAAATTCCAGTTCCATTCCAGTTGGTGCAAACCTTGCCCTATAACTTCATTGAGGCTGCTGTTTAAAAAGATTGTAATGTTTACATGGTACATAAATGTATAGAGAGTCATTCAGGGTGACATTTAATGTTTGCCCCTTTAGAAAATTGTTATTTAAAGGGAAATTTTTATTTCCTCAATATTGTTAGCATTTGGTTTACTTAACATCATATTTAACACGTGTATTTTTGAGGTATGAAAAATAAAATTTAAATGTAAAAATACATGCCTCTTTATTGTGAAAATGGAAGCCTCCATCTTAGAACCCATTGTTGTTATAAGCTCTGTCCTTTTTGTCTCTCTAATAATGCCAAATATATCTACTTTTTCTAAAGTCAAACACATGCATGCCTAACCTATGTCCCTTTTTAGTAGGTCCCTCGCGTGTACTGTTATGACGCTGATGCCGGGATGGTGTCATATCCCAGCTGCCACATAGCTCACACCTCCCCAAGGCCAGGCCTGGTGGCACCACCTTATCTGTTGGCACCAGGGGCGGACCGCCCCCCCCCCACCTGTACTCCACTGGATATGCCTCGAAACATCCTTACTCTAATGCCAGCATATTTATTTTTATTTTTCCCCTCTAAAGAAAACTCATCTCTAAGCTGTGTAAACTCTGATTTGTGTTGCACACAACCTGTCTTGGTGTAGACAAGATTTTTCTCACCATGCTGTTGCCTTCCACCTTTGTGTGTGTACTTGGAACTATGGCCACACTCCCTAAAATAATCCCTCTGCGTCACTGTCACATACAAGATTTGGCCATAATCCCATGGAGTAGATTAAAGGGACACTCCAGGCACCAAAAAAACTTCATCTAAATGAAGTTGTTATGGTGCCACTCTTACTCCAAGTCTGAAAACCCCTTAGTTGCCTCCAGCGCCAGTCTCAGATCCCTCCTCGGCAACATCTGGCTTCAGAATTTTAGTTTACAGGAAGCGTGAAGTGCCGTTGGGCAGGGGCGCCGCTGATTAGCTGACGCTCTCAACCAATCAGTGACTTCCCATTCACTAAACTAAATAGGAAAGAAACGTACATTTCTCAAGAGTGCATCCAGGGGCCTCCTGGCACCATAACAACTTAATTTATATGAAGTTGTTTTGGTGCCTGGAGTGTCTCTTTAAATAGTAAGTTTAGTTTACAGTCTATTGTATAAAACGGTAGAGACTTACTGGATTCCACACTCTCCAAGTAACCCAGGTGCTCTGAAACTAGGGCTGGCCAGGCCTCCCTTCCAAGATATGCAAAATAAATAACCGTTCAGGTACTCCGGGAGCACTCCAGGGTAATAAAAATAGCAGCTTTATTCTGGAAAAAACAGCAACGTTTCGAGGTCATTATCAAGCTTGATGAAGACCCAGTAGGGTCGAAACTTTGCTGTTTTTGCCCCAATAAAGCTGCTATTTTTTTGTTATCCCGGAGTGCCTGAACCGTTATTTGTTTTGCATATTCTATAAAACAAACTTTGGATTTACTAATTCTCGGACACTATGATGCATAGGTTGTGCGCAACATGTCCATACGCATTACCAATTCAGCATAGTTTCCATTTGTGATGGGTTGATTTATGATATCTTGAAGGGTTAGACCCCTTCACTATTAGAATAGAGTTTTATTTTCATGTATTTTGCAGTGTAAAATCTAGTCTTTAAAGCCTTACTCATTTATACTCTATTTATGCTTACTAGTCAGTAAAGGACCGAATTTCTTTGCCAGAAGCCACTGGCCACACGAAATAAAACACGTTTTCTCTGCACTATTGTGAATGCATAATACAAACACAGAGCACCCAACCCGTGCACCACATATTTTCAGGGTCAACTCCTTGGTGCCACTACGATAAATAATAATTAATATTGTGACCGACTGTCACAATTCATCAACAATGTATGGCTTAGAAAATTGCATAGCGACAAGATGATCTTTTATGATTTCCTTTTTAATCAGAAAGGGTAAATTTGGAATTGTTCTAAATATAATATTGATCTCTGTTTGGGAAGTAAGTCTAAAAGCGAGACAATAAATTAAATACAGCCATCATGATATGATAAATTAAAATTGAGAATATCCATTAACATTGTAGTGAATACTGTAACAGTAAAACAGGGGTTTAAGAGCCCATGATAAAGGAAGCCAGGGTCAGTTACCAGGTAGTCCATCATAAAGGTGAGTGGAGTATGCGTAGTCACAAGCCTGGGTAGAAGCTGGGTATCCATCATGATAGGAAGCTGTGTTTTTTTTTTACAAATCCAGGTCTGCTGAGTTTGAGTTAGAGAAGAGCAGGAAACTCTATGGGTAAACCGGAATTGCTGTAGTTGAGTCTATACATTAGTATCCATCTGTGGAGAGAAGCAGCGTCCGAGGGAGCAATGAAACGGCAAAGGTGGATTGGAGAAAAAGTCGTCTTTCCACTTGCTAGAGTCTAGGAACACGGAAGAACCAGGAGGTAGACAGAAAGTGGTGGTTTAATTACATCTTGATGAAACCGAGGTTGTTGAAGAGACTCCGTAATCGAGCTCTGATAGTATGTCAGGAACCTGTTTAAAAAGGATGAATGCAATTAACTTGATAAAGGAACAGCACATTAATTGAACTATAATTAATGAGATTCAAAAGCCTATAAAAAGACCTAATATTCATGTATCAAATTTATAATATATGAGTAAAGGGAGACAATACAACCACGACAAAACTGAAAGGTCGATTTATATATCGGTGTTACCTATTCTTGGTTCATAAAAGAAGAATAATATATATAAAAACTGCAATAAATATGAAAGCCTATTCTCGCTAAAATCTGGTCAATATATTGAATGCACATTCACATCTCAAATAAGATATAGGAAGGTTTCATTTTTCATCTTCTGCAGGGCTTTATTTTGAGACCTTGGAGGTATTATCTGACTAGCCGCCAACGTTAAATCAATATATTCCTACTTTAGGGAGGAAATTGTGTGCATATAATGAAAGTAAACATCCACCCTCTTTAGACCAGGAATGTCTTCGTTCAAGGGCAACCTACTGACCTATAGATCTACTCTGGGTGATCATGTTGCAGTTAATGTTGAAATATGATGTACAGAAGCATGATTTTCCAGCAGGAGGGGTGGGGGGAGTTTGTACAGGTACTGTTTTAAACAAAATAATGATGATTCCTGGGTGTCGGGGGTGCACTTGCACCCTCTTTCTCTATGTTGTGAACACCTGTGATTATCTACTTTCTGCAGCGTGAGTGTTCTTTGCTGTTTATAACAAATGTCCTCATGACATATTTCTCTGGAATACAGGAATCATTGCAAAGGTATATAGATTTTATTTTTTTCAGGATCTGTAAACTTATAAATAAATTTTTTAACTATTATCCCAGGATTGCGTTCCTACATGACAGGTGCATTGTCGCCATATGGGCTGGAGGAGCTGACCATTACCTTTTACCCCAACCCACACCAATGAAACACTGGGTATGGGTCAATATGTCCACAGCTTTAATTTATAATATATAATAATAACGATAATATATAAATAACATAAGTCATTGCCCACCCCCACACCCTCAGCCATCCATCATTATCACTTTTCCACATATCAATTCGCAAAGCAATGACCCATCATATTTAACATAACATAACATTGTATAACAATCCATAAGTATAACAAAACAAGATCAAACATTTTCTACACGATCCTGGCAGGGGTATACCTTGATACCCCTACACCACCTGGGTTCGGAGCTACCAACGAGCTCGAAACCACCAACATCTTACCAACAGGTAAACAGTCCATATTGAAACAGCCAACTCACTACTCTTGCTCTACGCTCCCTTAAGCAGGCCCGTTACCCCCTTAACTTTCCTTCCACTAGCCCGCCACAAGCTCAGACCTTGACCCCTTAAGCCATCTGAGCTCCGCCACCCAAAAGAATAGAGCCTTGGCCAGACCCTCCTGCAGCCTCAAATTAAATAAATCGATCCCCACCTCCGAGAGGTGCACCCCATCATCTCTGAAGTACCCTGGCAGCATGTCCTCTAGTTCCCTGTGCCGAACTACCACCCCGCCCAGCTTCCTTACAAAACTAGCCATCAACCCGTTAAGCTTTTTTGTTTTAATTATCTTCATTCCCTAACATTGCAAGCACTGCAATTACCCAGCCTCTTTAAACTGGATACATTTTTCTTAAAGCTACGCTCTTGGCAACCAAACAACTTTAGCTTAATGAAGCCGCATTGGTCCCTTTGTTTCTGTTTGTGTAACGTTAGCCACACCTTTGATGCCTATGGTGTCCATTTAATTTACAAAATTGTACTGTTGGTTGTATAAAGACAGCATCCATATAACTAATGTTTATTTCTAAGGTAATTATGCATTACTTAATGAATTATTTCTCTTTCATCTATAAAACAATTAGTGTGACTTGAATTGAAAAACAGGTTTGGTATCCCTGGGCCATTATAAATGTGTTGTGCAAACTTACAAAAGACTTGTCCTTCTAAATTACCTGCTTACGACCTGAAGCATGTCATCAAGCCAGTTGAAAACAGCCATTTTGCATTCAGTGGGCCTTAATAATGTTCCTATTGGGGATTTGTCCTTTGTTATCTAGAAATTCTTCTGGGATTTTATATTTCCTTGGGGCCCAGACTTTAGTACACTAGTTAATCTATGTTCTCAGAACCTTTTTCCTATGTGAGGGAAAGGTCACTGGTTGTCAGTCCAGTTAGAATGTCCAAAACACCCTATATAAAACATATGTGGAAATGTGTTTACGTAAATTGGAACGTTTA